AAGGTCTCATTTTACATACACACATACAAATACACACACATATACACACATATTTATGCATATATGTGATTATATCTGTACATATATGGAACTGATTAGATTTATAAGCAATTGAGAAATGATCAATCAGTAAGCAGTTTTCAGAGGAAGAAATCCTAGTTACCAAAAACCATATTTTAAAAAAAAATTCCTCCTAGTCACTGATAATTAAAGAAACACAAATTAAAGCAAATATGAGGTTCTACCTCTCACTTAACAGATTGGTCAAGTAGACCAAAAAATGACAATGACAAATGCCAGAGGGCTTGTGACAAAGTAGGTACATGAATGCACTGTTGGTAGAGCTGTCCAACCATTCTGGAAAACCATTCGGAATTGAGCCCTTTCACCCAAGAATACCCCTATTAGTTATATATGCCAAAGAGCTCTAAGAAAGAGAAAAAGGATTCATGTACAAAATATTTATAGCAGTTTTTTGGAGGGAGGGTGTGGCAAAGAATTGAAATGAGGGGGTCTTTATCAATTGGGAAATGGCTGGACAAGTTAAGGTATGTGGATGTAATGGAATATTATTATACTATAAGAAATGATCCTGGGAAAGATTTCAGAGAAACCTGGGAAATCTTGCATGAATTGATGCAAAATGTGGAGAGGAGTACCAGTAGAATAATTTATACAATAAAAACATTATAGAAAAGACAGACAACTTTGAAAGACTTTAGAACTCTGAACAATGCAGTCACCAGCCATGATTCTAAAACATTTATGATGAAACATGCTACCAACTCTTAACAGAGAAGTGATGTACTATAAACATTGAGACATATTATTTCTGGACATATACAGTGGGGGAATTTGTGTGTAACAGGGATTTTGTTTTTCTTTTCTTTTATCTTTTTTTTCCTCAGTAGGGAGGAGGGGATGATCAAGGGAGAAAAGGCACATTTTTCTTCATTGAAAAATAATTCAATTTTTAAAAATCCTCCCCTAAAAAAAGGGAAAAGAAAAATAATGTAGTGTCTTTTCTTATTCATCTTAGGAAGATATCCTAAACACAGTATTTCACATAGCCATCAAATACTGGTCACATGGAGTAGGTATTGAACTATTCATGGGATAGTAACTACATCTCTTCTGGTTTTGCAGTGAGAATGAAAATGGGGAGGGAAGAGAGGAAATACCATATAAATTATTACACCTATTGCCAGTCATTGAGTGCTTCCTCCACTGATGCAGATGAAGCAAAAGGCAACAATGCTAAAAGAACACATGAATTGTACACAAGACAAAGCAATTGACCTTGAAGAGAAGAGGGACAGAGATAATTTAAAGATCTCCCAGAAGAAGACGATACTCTAAGAACCTGAATTCTGTTTGGCAGGAAATGTTACAATTACATGTCCAGAACTTTTAAATATATAAAACAAAGTACTATTCAATCATTCTCTCCTATCACTTCCAGAGAAAAACCCATGCTTAAAAATCCTAGGCAAGTACTGGTTAAATTTCCAAATTTCAGTAACAAACAACAAATTTTGCAAGTATCTAGGAGAAAGACCTTCAGCTATTAAGGGAATAATCAATCTATGATTACCCAATAGTCTTGGAAATAAAGACAAAAGAATGGAGTAGTGTATTCCAAAAGGAAAGGAGTTAAAGCTGCTACCAAAAATCATATGTCCTACAAAGCTAAACACAATCATCAAGGATAAAAAATTGGAGCTTATCAGAAAAGAAGCATTTGAATCATTCTTGGGAAACAGCGGCAGATGCAGCAACAGCAGTAACAACAAGAGAGGTGAGCTAAATATTTGACTTGCATACGCTTCAAATGAATATGAGTGAATGAAAAAGCATTTTAAATGCTTACATATGTGTCAAACAATAAGCACCAGGGATACATTTTTTTTTAAATGAGAGTCCATACTTTCAAAAAGGTCATATTTTTTAATAGAGGGAGACAGCACATATAGGAAAGTTCATCTGTGGGACATATGACAAGGCTTGGGGATATGAAAGATGCAGTGGCAGGTTGGATGATAAGAGATGGTAAGCTGGTGGGTATAGAAGCAGCACAGATGGTAACGCCCTGGGTTTTAGAGCACTCAGTGTTATTGCAAATAGAACTGATTACTGTCAACCTTGGGTTTCTCATCTCTTAGTTTGTTGCTGTTAACGAGGAAGGTGAAGCAGTTCATTGTAGGCTTTGCCCTGTTCTATTTGTAAGCAGGTTTGTGGTGAAGAACCATGTCTCCACAGTTCTGGAAGAGGATAAGGCTTCTTTTATATATACATACACTTTATATATGTGTGTATATATACATATATATATGTGTGTATGTACATATGTATCAGAGTAGCATAAGAAAATTATTCACATAATAATCCATAATTATCCATAATCAGAGTAGCATAAGAAAGTTATCTGCAGGAAGTGCTGGCTTTAAGGAGAAAGGGCATAAAATCAATTCTAAAGAAGTAAATGGAGGAACAGAATTATAACTGTCACAAACTTAAATGTATATGGCTTAAATAATTCAAGTAAACTAGAGTAGAATAATGGATTAAAATAAAATCCAATAAATTGTTTAATATGAGAAACATGTAAAAATAATAAAGATACATACAGAATGAAAAAGGGCACAATGTATTCTTTCCATGATGCTTGTACTTAGAGGGGAGTGTGGTACTGTGGGGATTATTGGGCAGTAACAGTTATAAAAATAGCATCAATAAACCATTAAAAATAAAATAAACACAAAATTTTTATTAAACATCAGAAAACATATAAAAATACCTGAAAAGTTGATTTATTATTTCTAGTTTTATTTGTCTTCCTTATTATAGAAAAATATTGCAACATTGCAACCTTTTAAGTTAGGTAAACAGTGTGTTAAGTACTATTGTGGATATCTTTCTAGCTTTTCCCTCTTCATTTGTCAAATCAGTTTATGAAGTATAAACATCACTGTGACCTTTGATCTACATTAAGCTACATTTACATGAAAACTTAAATCACTAAATTTAATGTTTGGACTTCTAAATGTGTTGTAGGGCATTGTGATAAAGAATGAAGAACAACAATAGAACATTGAACTAAGGAACTTTTATGGTGGATTTGAAAGTAGGAAATTAAGTTCCTTTAATGGACAGTTGGATGAAAGGCTGCTTTTTAAAACTATGAATCTTCTCAGTTAAATTAATATCAATTTGTCATTTTAGTGAAATGCAAATTGTGGAGGTAGTCCCTACACTCATATGGAAAAGCTCAAACAGCTGACTCAGCTGCTTAAATCAGAGCTCATTTTATTACATATACACTCATGACTTTTATACAGATTTGTATATTATGTCTATAAAAGTGCTGAATTCTTAGAAAATATATTAGGAAAATATGAATGCATGAGCAAGCTGAGTTTTACCCGCATTTCCCTAATAGGTGTCCCTATTTACATATGGTATAGGTTGTCTGGCTGTGTAATATGTTGAATTTTGCCCTTTTTTTAAAAACAGTTGATAGCTATTTGTCAAGTTTAAATAATGTGACAATTAGCATCATTCCCTGAGATTAAAGATGAATTTTAGCTGGTGTACCAATGAATACTTAGTGTTTATATATACAACCATTATATATAGGCATTGTTACATAAAAATCCCAGAAAGTCAGTGTGGCAAAAGGGTATTAGAAGTAGCCTCTTGAGTCGGGAAGATCTGATTTGAAGGTTGGCTTTTAGATATAAGCTGCCTGTGTGATTCTGGGCAAGTCACTTAAGTTCCCAGTATACCAAACAACTCTCTAAGATTATAAATTACAGAAGAGTTAATGAACTGAATTGGTAGAGGGGATTTTCTTACCAAGAGTTCCTTATTCCGATAAAATCACAGGTCTGGTTCAAATAAAAAAATAAAAAAGATATTCCCAGTCTTTTGGTGGTTACTCTGCTTCCCACCTGAAATCTGATGTAGAGTGTGTGTGTGTGTGTGTGTGTGTGTGTGCATCCATGTGCACACATACCAACATTCATCCCTGTGTGGTGATAGTGAAGTTTTCCAACTGGCTAGGTGAAAAGAGGACATTATGGCCAACAGCCAGTACTTCCCATTTACTAAGTGTCTCCTGTGTGCTAAGCACTGTGCTAGTGATTTTCCTAACTCCTCACTAACAGTTCAGTCTAGAAGACACTAGGAAGACAGAAAAAGACCTCAGCTCAAAATGTCTATAAACTGCAGGGAAGGTGAACTGGAATGTTTCATTTACTACATGGCTTTAGTTAATTGGGATTTGCTGTTTGATCAAATGAGCAAAACAAAACTTGTGAGAGATCACTACAAAATAATTTTTAATATTCTTGGTCATGCCTACACAGTCTACTAATAATTGGCATCTACCTAGGAGGTGATATTTAAAAATATTAGTATCCAGTTTAAGAACTTGGGAGCTAAATATTATTATAAATGTACATATCTCTGCAAGTGAGGTGATTTAGCTGTGAGGAAATGCATGAACATATTTGTCACTTTGAAACTAAAACATACTCTGAGTATTTTTATTAATGTTTTACTTGTGCAGATGTCTGGTGTTCATTAGATTTCTTGTGGTGAGGCAGAGGAAAATATATTGTAGTTTGTCTTTTTTAAAATAAGTTTTTCCTTTAAAAGATGTGGAGATGGGAGCATTTTTCATTTTGCAGTGCTTGTTTTTATGCAGTCATGAGTTGTGTAGAGCTATTTGATGACTTCTGTGAAGCTAGTCTGTACAATTGAGACATAACTGAAAACTTAAAATTTGCAGGACCTTGTTTAGCTCGAAGAATATTGTATTTGTACTTTTAATCATATGTTATATTCTAGCATCATTATGGACATTCAAATTGTATTTGAAGTACCAGTGGGAGTTTTGAATAGTGATCTTTTCCAGAGGTAATACAGTTATAAAGTTATTTTTGCTTGTAATGAACAATCTACTCAGCTCCATTGCAGTAAGTATATCTGTTTTTCAGGTTGACCCCCTGTTTACAGTGCCAGCACCACCTCCACCAATTTCCGGTAGCATCACGCCTCAGATTCTACCTTCCTACTTTTCTTCATCTTCATCCAATATCGCAGCCCCAGTTGAACAGCTTTTGGTACGAACTCGTTCAGTGGGTGTTAATACATGTGAAGTTGGAGTAATAACTGAGCCTGAATGTCTGGGACCCTGTGAACCTGGGACCAGCGTGAATCTGGAAGGGATTGTGTGGCATGAAACTGACGAAGGTAACTCTTTTTAATTTCTATTACCTTCTTCTCTTTGCTGTATTTATATTTATCTGTAAGAGAATTTTTTGTCTCTACTGAGAGGAAAGACAAGTGGCTTTTCACATTATTTGCTGTTGTTTTTTTTTAAATAGGCAAATCTTTACATTTTTAATGACTATGTTTACTAGTCATTCTCTGTCTAAATAATTAAATGGAAGTAGAGGGCTGAATTTTCTCTTCACTATTAGCAACTACTTCTCTACTAGAGAGATGACTTCACACTTATTTATTCAGTTAAACATGGCAAAAATGGTAGATTTAAAAAAATGAGTATCTATAATCTCAATCTATGTTGAAAGGAGTCACTAGTTAGCATGGGCCCCAGAAGTATTATGGATATGGTTGTTTTATGCACAAAAGTAACGGAACCAAGAATAATAGGTTCATTTGGAAAAAGTTTTGGCCTTGGAATCAGACCTGAGTTCAAATCCTACCTCAGCTACTTACTAGCTTTGTGACAAAGGGCCAATCGTATAACATCTCAGAGACTCAGTTTCTTCATCTGTAAAATGGGGACAATACTTTCACTCTTTACTTCACCAGATCTTGTGATAAGGCATGTTTCAGGTCTTAAAGTACTTTGCTTTTTGGACCTGTTACCATTGTTCTGTTACACAGCCACACACTCTTTTCCTAATTTTAGCTAGTAATCTTACAAAAACAAACTAAATAAAAGTCATCAGGGGAACTGGGTGAAAGAGGTATGGATCAGCGAAATTTAAATTAGCAGATCAGAAATTTAAATGTACCCTGTCCAAGAAACTTATTGCATTGAAAAAGGGGAGTGGGATGGGCAATAGTTGTTGACAAATACATAATAAGGGAATATTGATGAATCCAGGTAAGTGACTCAGTGGATAGAGTGTCAGACTTGGAGTTAGGAAGACTCATACACTTACTAGCTGTGTGATCCTGAGCAAGTCACTTAATTCTGTTTGCCTCAGTCTCCTCATCTGTGAAATGAGCTAGAGAAGGAAATGGCAAATCATTCTAATATCTTTGCCAAGAAAACTCCAAATGGAGTCATGAAACAAAATAAAAAACAACTGAACAACCACACTGACAAATCTAGATAATTAGCAAAATAATGAAAAAGATGAAAGGGAAAGAAAAATAAGAAGATATTTTTAAAAAATTAGTAGCTAATGTTTTTTTTTTTTGTCCCAAAACAGTCATGAGAGTTTAGCCTCTTGGGTACATGTGATAGGGAATTCAGGAAGAAAAGGAAAGATAAGAGTCTTTAGGACTGGCAAGAATAGGAAAAAATGATAAGGATTCTTACCTGGAAGTAAGGATTAAGACTTCTTTAATTATGGAAGTAATTTAAGGAATAACAGGAAAAGATAGGGAAATGGTTTACCTATTTGCTTAAGTGTATAATTTGTTTTTCGCTTTAGAATGTGGTTTTCTACTTATATTTGAATATATTTCTCATCTGGCCATACATTTTAAATAAAATAATGAAGCTATACTGTGAAGAACTCAGGAGGAACTGAGAAATGTTCTTAATATCCTGTTTTGCCGATCCTTTGTAGTAGACACCATTTAGGAGATAAACTGGGGAAAATGTAAGGTTCCCTAAGTTTTCCATTGATTCCAGGAGGTGTTTACTTGTTTGGGCTTCATTTTGCTTTACAGATATTCAATATCCATTAAGGAGTTCACATGTTAATAAAGTTAGTTAAAATAGGTACTAATTGTGAGTGGCCCAAATGTTATAAAAGTAAGTACTTGTATGTGGAGGCAATGTAGTAGAGTAGATTTGAAGTCATAACCTGGGTTCAAATCCTGGTTCACTTAATATTTCTGTGGTGTTGAGTAAGTAACTTAACCTCTACAGGTCCTCAGTTTGTTAATCTATAAAATTGAAAGTAATGATTAATGGAAAATGAGCTAGTAGAAGGAAACATTGGCCTACTTTTCATAGTGGATTAGTCAATTCAGTTTATTGTCTTTCATAGCCTCAGTTAGCAGATTATTTGATCTCTGCGGTTTGATCTCTCATGTGGTAAACTTATTTAAAACTATCCATAGCATCTATAAGGTCCAGGTGGCTTTTTGTTTTTATTTGTTTAGTTGTCTATTTAATTTTAACTATTAATATGCCTCTCTAATAAAAATGGGATTATTTTAAAAATCCATCATTTTAAGACAGTAACAGCACATTTCCAGATACAGAATTCTGGAATGCTTTCTGTTTATTCATAATTATTTTGGGTATTTTGTATTGATATACGAAAGTTTACCAAAGGGCCTCTACCATGTGTATATGGAAGGGGGGAGGTGTGTCTGTGTGTGTGTGTATGTGTGTGTGTGTGTGTGTGTGTGTGTATACAACTAGATGTATATACATATATAGAGTAGCTAGGTAATGCAGTGAATAGTGTGCAGGCCTAGAGTCAGGAAGACCTGAGGTCAAATCTGGCTTTAGATACTTAATAATTGTGTGACTGTGGGCAAGTCACTTAACCCTATTTGCCTCAGTTTCCTCGTCTATAAAATGAGTTGGAGAAGGAAATGGCCAACCACTTAAGTATCTTTCCCAAGAAAACTTCAGATGGGGTCATGAAGAGTCAGGCACGACATAGTCAGATTTATTTACTTTTATATATGCATTGTTCTTTGTGTGTTTTCATTCGATTTATAGGACAGATTGATCCTTTAAGTTTTTTGTTTTGTTTCAAAGCATAGGATACTTTCAATGAATACCCTAACATAGAGGGTCTTTGGCAGCTCCAATATGCTTTTTACTGCTTTGTATTTACCAGTATTTGGAATGAGCAGTTATTTACTGGGGTGACATGAAAACAATAGCTATTAGTAGTCATTCTTGTTGAATATACTAAACTTATAAAATTAGGAGAATTTAAGAATCTATTCCTAGTAAGGGCTCGGGATCTTAAGACGTATGTGTTTAACAGGCACATTTGTCAAAGAAAATTCTCTATGAATTTTCTCAGTATAGGTCTTGTTCCTACCTAACATTAACTAATTAATTAATCAGTCAATCATTTAATTAAATCCACTTGATCATTATTTCCTGTCCTTTTGGAGACAATTACAAGAGAAAGAAAGAACACATCTGTCAGTGTTGGTCAAGGGATTTAGGAACAGGAGTGCAAGATGAGGGAGGAAGAAGGCAGCTAATATAATTTTTTAACAGTTTTGAGATTACTTTGACCTAAGTAGGCAATTTGTAACATTTCCAACATAAAAGAAGAGGTTTTAAACGTTAATCTTTAGATTTGGTTGAGTAAAAATTTCTTCCTGGTACCTCTGCTTTGACTAGTATATTATTGGTAGTAGTTTCCCACAAACCCAATTGGTTATAAGTGGGAAAAATTATATTTGGAGATAATTTGCCTTTTTATGATTCTGCACATAATTATTCATTCAGTCATCTTCAGTAATATTGCATATTCTTGTGAATTTGAAGACATGGGATTTAGAAACCCCAGCATAGTGTTTCATTCTTTCTTGTCATTTAAAGTTCTTGATTAGAGAAAGATTCATTTAGTTAACTTTGTCTCTGACTTAACTCTATCTTGCTCTTAGTATGCAAAGCTTACATTGCTTAGTAACAAATTGTCTTAAGGTAAAAACTGTTGCAAGTATGTTTCCCTCTGGAAAAAATTAGGATGTTTCAGATCATGCTTAATAGAAGAGAAAAATTAATACTACATGTGGATGTTCTTCCATTCTACTCTGATCTCTTCTCTTCAAGGAAAGTGCGATGATATAAAATTATTCACAGATGTTAGAAAGAATTTCTTTAGCGTTTCACTTATACATTTGGGGCACACATGCTGCTGTTCAGTGATTTATCAGAAGATTTGTTATTTTTAAAAAATAAAATAATAAAGTATATGTAAATATGTTTGTTAAACTTGGTTTTTAATTCACAGAGATGCATTTTCCTTTTAAATTGATGATGTCAGGTTTTTAAGTCATACTTTTTGTTCTTCACAGAATGCCTTCCTTCTAGTCATGGTTCAGTATCATGATTGTCATTTGTAATTCTTGACTGTTCTCATGTTCTTACATTTACAAAAATGCTAAGAAAAGAGAGGGAATGAAGCAAGCCCTCAGTTTTGCCATGATCAAGTGAATTTTCTTAATTCTCATCCACATGTTTTAATCCTTCTAGGGCCTTTATTTTTGTGAAGAATTTTCCATTATAGAGTGTGAGAAGAAAAGCTAGATTATTTAGAAATTCTGTTATTTATTATAGTATATGCTGACAAGTTCCCACATGGATTTGTTGACTTTCTGTGGTTGTGAATAGCTAGCAATGGAAAAGAAAAAACAGAAAGACAGTAAAAAATATCATTTGATGGGGCATGTAAGGGGGAGAAAGTGATTATATATTTGGAATCTTTCTCTTAATGTATTTTGTCCTTTCCAAGGAAATAAAATGTGAACTTGGGGATTAATAATTTGAAGGTGACATTATAAAAGTAAATCGTTTTCTGGTAGAATACACCAGTCTTCTTTCACCTTCTGCTTCTTTTCCCTTTTTTCCAAGTCATAAAGAAAGCTGAAATTTCAGATTTGTAAAACTAAATTTCAATCTAATTAATTTAAAGGAAATACATTTTAAACTTCTCATACAATATGGATTATTTGGTAATACTATTTTTGTTTTCCAGCATTTATTCCATTGAGTTGAATTTCACTTTTAATGTTTTTTCCCTCTAACTTTTGATTGAGTTGGATAGGGACTGAAATGTGCATTTAACTTTATTTTGTAATATCTGATTTTGAAATAAAACAGAAATTATGATGGCAGTGGAGTTAATATAGTACCTAGCTGATTGAGGAATTACCCTTGAGGTTTTCTGCCTAAGATATTCAGCCTTGACAGACGATCTAAGTTCACTTTGGTGTGAGATGTATTTTCAGTTATTATCAATAACGATAGTGAACTTCATTTTGATTAAAGGTAGTTTTCTTACTGT